GATAGTTCGATCGATCAGAACTAATATCACTTTTTATGGGTTGCCGTTGCGACCAGGCTATCAGAAAACAATGCCATCCATCATTGCTATATTCGTCGCCGCCACTGCCACCTGACTTTCATCATGGTCTGGCGAAACTTGTGACTGTAATGTCCGTTGCGGTGGTATTTCTTTGGGCCGCTGGTGTTCCGATGATGTCCCGATATTGCCCCGCTGGTGTCCCGATCGTACTGAACGCCACTCGCTGTGAGATCGATAATGCGAACTGTTAAGAGATCGGTAATGATATCGACATATGACGTCTGCAAGAAGATGATGACCGTGAGAGGGGTGGCGGTCCGTCATAATTCCCGGACGGGTCATAAACATTCCTGTGTTTGGGAGACGGCGACATACCGCGACGAGGCCATAGTCACCGATGAGGGGTTAGAGGAAACGGTGACCACGAGGGGGGTCGCGGTCACCTCCGCAAAGACGCACCCGAAACTTGTCTCTGGACGTCCCCCGGGCCAAACAGACTGCATGCTGCATGGTCGTCGCGCTTCTCTTGGGAATCCGTCGGCCTCCAAGAGGGCAGAGCATTGCAGTGAGACGATCGGGAAAGAAGAGGAGGAAATGATATGAAGGGAAGAAGAGGAGAGGAGGGCGAGGAAAAAGGGAGAGAGACGGTCGGGGAAGGTGAGGAGGAAAGGAGGAGGGAGAGAGAGAGGAGAGGACAGAGGGGGAGGAGGATGACACGAGGAGGGCGAAATAGGACGAGGAGGGAGTCAGAACAGGAGGAGGAGGAAAAGGATAAACTGGGAAAGGAACGAGGGAACGAGTGGGGGGTTGCGATGTGCGAAACTGTCGCTACCGTCGTGGGCCGCTGGCGGGTCCAGCGGAGAGGCGTGATCCGCGGACCAGAATGAGGCCTCGCCGTCCCGGGGGGCTTCGAACAGCGAAGCAGTCGCCACGTTCGCGGCCCCCTCGTCATTGCTCCTTTGTCAGATCGTGATCGCCCTCTTTCCGATGATATGAGTCGCAAGAGTGATGCCGTGAATGGGGAACACTGGTCTGCGGCCTCATGTTCTTTGGCGAAGCGTTCAAGGATACTGCGAATCCTTCAAGGCGTAAGTTGGAAATGAACGGTCCTGGGTATAGTCGCCTCTTGTGTATAAAGGGTTGGGTGCGTCTCCGGGTCAGTTGTTTCTGGAGGTTCTCTTTGGAACCCCGGGGAAGCTATCCTTGGGCGTTTCTGGGACCTGTTGGGCCTTGATTGGGGCACCTTCAGCTCGAAGACGGCCCAAGAGCGCGTCAGGAAACCCATTCGTTGCCTCTCCTTGTCAGAAGCCTCGCGATCGCCAGGAGTGGCTCGGGGCGTCCGGGGAGGGGACTCTTGGAAGCTTTTTGGGGCGTCCTGGGGGCCTCGTGGGAGCTTTTTTGGGGCCGCCTGGGGGCCTCTTGGGGGCCGCGTAGGGGCCTCTTGGGGCCCCGTGGGGCCATCCTATGGGCCTCTTGAAGCCGAAGGCTTGAAATTTGAACTTGGTTTTCGTTTTCTGGGACGCCTGTGCGGCCCGGCCAGATGGTCTCTTGGGCTGTTTTGGGGGCCCTTGGGGCACTCTTGGGCTCTGTTTGGACGTCTTGGGGCCTTCTTGGGAGCCTCTTGGGCCGTCTTGGGAGTCTCTTGGGCCGACTTGGACGTTATGAAAGGCCTAGAGGCGAATATGTTGAGAATGTACTTTTTACGATGGGAATGGGGCTATTTTGGCCTCGCGGGGCCCTTTTGGGGGGCCCTTTGGGTGCCTATTGGGCCGTCTTGGGTCGCCTCGGGGCGGTCGCGGTGTCATCTGAGGCATCTTGGGCCGGTGTCCTCGGGCGTCTTGGGCCGCTGGGGGGCCAGTAAAAGCGTTTCGCGCATCGTTCGGTGACCTCCATGGAGGGCTTGGAAGTCCGCTGGAAAAGGGGCCCGGGGGCCAAGGGCGGCCGTCCAAGAAGGTATATGTGGGGTGTGTGTGTGGGCCTCCTGGGGGGATTTTTCCTTACAGGATGTATAATTATGGGAATGTGCATATTGAGATCGATTGTCGGATCGATAGTGATATCGATTCTGAGATCGATACTGAGATTGATAATGACATTGATACTGAAACTGGTAGTGATATCGATCGATCGGAGTCGATTGCGAGGTCGCATTCGTGTGGTGTGAACTCCATCGCGGTTATCTCGCCTTCATTACAATCACCATTCATCATTCTCACCAGTCTTTTCATCGTGCAGTGTCACCATCTCGTCGCCATCGCAGTCATCGCAGTTGTTGTCAACGGGCTTTCCTCCCCTCCCCAACCTCCCCATCACCCCTGGGGGGGGGCGTGAGGTAATTTTTGGCGTCGGGTGTGGCCAGTCTTGGGCATCGGGACCGTCAGATATCGACTCGGGTGAAAACTTGGCCCCGGGGAGAGGGTCGGGAGGCCGGGGTCCCACGCATGGATCACGTCGGCGCGCCGCATGCCTGGGGTCGT